GTGGGTGTGGGTGTGGGTGTGGGTGTGGGTGTGGGTGTGGGTGTGGTGTCGGTGTGGGTGTGGGTGTGGGAGCTGTTTATTGAAACCACACCCACAACCACACCCACACCCACACCCACACCCCACCCACACCCACACCCACACCCACATCCACACCCTGGTTTGTCCAATTAAATAAGAAGAACAATAATTATTAAATATTTTTGTTCTATTCAATAAGAAGAACATTAATCAAATTTTTTGTTGAAATAAATAAAAGAAGAATACTTAAATATTTTTGTTTAAATAAATAATAAGAATATTTATTAAATTTTTTGTTAACTAGCTACTAATCTTTCGATTTTGTAAAGTTTCTTACTTAGTAGCGAGTAAATCTCCACCAAGTTTTCTGGAAGATTTATCTCGAAAGAAACTTTATTATTTGTGTATTTCATCAAGTTGAGAGACATACACATTTCTCACTAAGGACTACAAGTCATACCTATCATAATTATATAAATACGTACTTGATCTGAATGTAAAATTGTGATTATTTAAGATTTTAGCGTCTAATTTAATCTCATATTATTTCGGTATTTATTGCTGGAAAAATATTCACCTGCTTCAAACGTAAAATCACGAAAGCAAGCCTATAAACAGCAACTAATTACTTACCTTTATTAATTGTAACACAGATTAGTGGATTTACTATTGAGATCTATCAATTTAAACAATAATTAGTAGATCTATCTTGATCATTTAGGTAAATAAATCATAAATTAATCTTGATTATTTAACAAAATAAATAGTATATTAAGCTTGATTATTTCAAGGGACACTTATTAAATTAATCCAGATCATTCAAAAGAATAAATCATAAATTAATCCTGATTATTTAGCAAAATAAATAGTAAACTAACCTTGATTATTTGAAAGAACAGCTATTATTAAACTAATTTTGATCATTTAAAGGAGTAAATCATAAACTTATCTTGATTATTTGACAAAATAAATAGTTCATTCATCTCGATCATTCAAGAAAACAATTAGTGAATTTGTTATTGAGCTTATGATTTTTGAACTAGTTAAAAAGATGCCAAAAACAAAGAGAAGATCCGTATCACAAAGAAATGTCGAGATGGCCAAAAGAATGAGAGAGAGGAGAACTGATGATGAGTTTCGCTTGTTAAACAATAGACGACGAGCAAATTCTCATAAAAGTGAACGTAAAAATCATGAATTTAAAACAGAAGAAAATAAAAGAAGAACTGAAGCTCTTAAAATTGAACGACAAAACGAAGAGTTCAGAGCTCAGGAAAATGAAAGACGATTGAAGTCACTTAGAGTTAAACGAGAAGAGGAAGATTACAAAGAGGAAGAAAGAAGAGAAAATGCATTAAGAATGCATAATACTAGAGATAAATATAAAAATAATTTCGATGCCATGAAATCAAACTATGAGTCAAAAATAAAAGAAGGACCCACCGATATTTGTAGTTGTTGCGGTGGTTTATGGTTTGCGTATTCTATCAGAGAATATACAGTTGAAATGTTAGTAAAGAAAGGATTAAAAAAAGAATTTATCGATACAGTTTGTTATCTAAAACATGCAATTATCGAATTATGTGCTACTTGTCGAAAGGACATCATGTCAAATAAAATAACTAACCTTGCTCTATCGAATGGTTTAGCATTCTATGAAATACCGGATTGCTTGAAAATCTTGACTGAATTAGAAGAAAGATTGATATCACCACGAATTCCTTTTATGGTAATTCGAACTTTAGGCTTTTCTAAACAATTTGGTCTCAAAGGTAATTTAGTAAATGTTCCGATGAATGTTGACACGAATGTTTCAATATTACCTTGAAGTTTTAGTGATACTTGCATAATTCAATTGAAAGTGATGAGACAAATGAAAAAGAAAAATGCTTTTATGTATGAAACAATTCGGCCAAAAGTCGTACATACAGCTGTTAAATATCTTGTTGAATAGGAACTATATAAAGATGAAGGTATTGTTATATCTAATGACTAGATTAAGGAATATCCAAATGAAAAAGAAAATTTCATAGTCCAAAACGAAGATAAAAAGTTTAATCCGACTGAAACTACGGAAGAAGATTCCGATCATGACGATAATTGGAATGAAAGTGATGATAAACCAATTAATCCAGTAACTAC